GCAGGTCCCACCTGGAGTATTTGAATTTCACATCGGGCAATATATACCACAGCCAGAAGTTGAATCACAGGAAGTTTACACCCATAATGGTGAAAATGTCGCGAAAATATTTGAATTGAGAGAGCGGATAATAGACTCCATTGTTTGATGTTGACTGGACTTATCTTGTTTATTTTATAAACTATAAGTTTATTTTATGTCAAATGTATTATGAATATTTTTTGTTTTGCAATTATAACGTGTTTGCATTATTTTTTTCCTATTTGATTATTTTTTGTGGGCTTCTGAGCTTAATGATGAAACTTTTGACCTTGTGGGTTCTTCTGGATTGTCTGTTGTTCGTTGTTAGTTAGTCTTACATGTGAAATCTTAATGAAGGCAAACAAGTTCCTCTTTCTTTTTAGGATGATCTTTTTTTGTAATATCGATTCACGATGTTCTTTAGGATGGTCTTTTTTTTGTGATATGCACATGTGACACACAGGAGTTTGGTTTTACGTGGGTTAAAGGCAACCAAGAACTCATTTTCTTATAAGTTCTACTGTCTTCTTTTAGTAACAGATTCGTTAGTTTGTATGTTTAGTTCTCTGAGATCTTACACCTGCAAAAAAATTATAATTAATTGCTTCTTTCAGCAATTTCAACTTCTGTTAAGACTAATGGATTGTCTTTTTTAATCATTCAGGAAAGATGAGCTCTGAGATTTCAGGGACCTCCCAACCAGTGCATTGTCGCTGCAGATTACAGACTTCCCTACTGACGTCGCGTCGGTCACATAGCTATAAAAGAAAGTTTTACAGGTGCCAGCAGAGAGCAGACGGTCCAAAGAAGTGTGATTTCTTCCGATGAGCAACAGTCCGGAAGATTCTACTATCGATAGGGTCCGATGGCATCCCTGAAGGACAACATAGTTCGGTACATACGTCGTCTGGATTTTAAAATGAATATTAATATTTTTTAAATGTAATTTTAATAATTTATCTTTTTTTAGTGTGCATTTGATATTTACTGTTATGTGAGATGTGTATCTTATGTTTTATATTGTTCTGAAGTGATTTTTTGCTTCTCAAGTATCAAATATATTGTTATGACAGTTATGTTGCAAACATTGCAAACAACATTATGCAAACAACATTACTTCACAGAGACAGAATGGTTATTTATCCACAATCCGCTGCAATTAAGTTATTTTCCAACAGTACGAACCAAAAAGTCAACCAGCTTGTTTGGATCAGTTGTTGATCGGCAACTTATCTAATTCAGTTGTTTATCAGGAAATCATCAATAAGTTGCAGTTGCCCTAAACAGACCCTAAAACCTATCAAAACGAAGTTTAAGAAAATGGTGCACCATTAACTAATCCAATTTATTCTAATGAGTGGGCAACTGTTGGTTAGGATGTCACCTGTAGATGGCAACTAAAATTTAACCCAGTTTTAAATTGTAGCCCACAAAAAAGCAGCAAAATTTAACCAAATTATGATGAAATATGGGCAAGTTTGACAAAGTCTCAAACTAAGAATATATATGAATATTGAATTTTAGAACATTGAAAGAAAAGCTTGGAGGATAAGTGCCTGCAAAGATTAATAAGGAACGGAGGCATGTGTTTGTAATAAACTAAAAACATTTTCGTAAAAATCCAGGCAATGAAGAAGATTATAAACTATTTTGTATTGAGACAATTAATTATAAAAATAGAGCAGATGAAAAGAGAGTTGAAAGGAAAACCTATAGAAATGAATGAATGTGGGTAATATTAATGTTCCTAAAATTATATTAGAAGAAAACTTAAAAACTAATATAAAGAAATTGAAATATTATAATGGTATTATGGTACATACCGAAGAAAGAGAACATAATTATTGGTGGTAAAACAAAATGCACATATTGGCTCTAGTAGTTTAACAATTGATGTGGCGCTTCTCTAGCTTCCCATGTGGCTCCGGAACTATAGAAAGAACAAGATTGTAGCTTACAACTTATTTGTCATTCTTTTATTGACGAATCCTGAGAAAATAGGATTGTAGCTTGTGGAGATACCTATTATAGGAAAGGCCTCTGGTAGTAATAGACTTCTTTATGGATCATTGGTTAGAAATAATCAGTCGGTTTCTTTGCAATGCTTCTCTTGGAAACATCTTCAACTTGCCTAAGACCCTTCTATTAGCAACTTTCTCGTGGTTTTTTTGGCTTAATAATCCTTTTGGTGGATGTTTTTAATGAATATAATTAGCAGTATGTTAGTTTAGCCAAAAATCAAATTAAATCGATCACATTTGGTTAATCTAGATTAGTTAATGAAATCATTGTTTTGATTTTAATTTCAAATAAAAGTTTGTTTCGATTACAGTTATTGATTTAATTTGGAAAATTTTCGATTCATACCAAACAATCGAATTATATTGTGAGTAAATCTAATTCGTCAATCAATTGGTTTAGCAAATTCATCAACTAATCAATATGAACTGGCTGAATGCAATCAATCTGAACTGATTGAATGGCACCCCTCTAAAAGAATTTCAAAATTGGGTTAAAGCAAAATATTACCAAGTCAAACTTATTATATTGTTCATTTTAACATGAGAACAATGTTGAGATGAGACTCTAATACTGATATTGAAAGGGGCATAGGAAGAGAGGAATTAAGGCCCAGAAAACTATATAATATTAGGAAAAAAAAGGCGGGGACTGGAGAGAGGAGAGAAAAAATTGAGAGAATAAGATGGCAATAAAAGTGAAAGAAAAAAAAATCAATATCCTTCAATGATGCATTTGCTATCACCTATGAAGCCCTTTTATAAACTAATAGCAAATTAACGCACTAATAAATAATCAAACCAAATGGAAACAAACATTCTTATTTTATGATTATCAAGAAGAAGTATACAAATAATAAAACAAAACATAATTGCATAAACATATATATATATATATATATATATATATGTATATATATATATATATATAAAAAACTTAAGAGGCTTTCATGCACATGATGCACTATATCAACATATTTACGAGAAACACAACGTGCATGTTCACATTTATTATAAGAATATTGACTATACAATTCATCAAAAATAAGCTTTATAAGTCAAGCACACTAGATATGGAGATTTTGAAGATTCTCTTGCGCAAAAATAAAATATGCCAAATATCAGGATTGTAGTTTCTTTTAGTTCTCCTATTGATGATGGGATTATAAATTCTGGTTCCTAAGGGAGCAGAATTGTACTGGCAAGAACCTTCTATGCTCCTTTGCAGTGCCTTCGGCGGTGATTGGCTTCTCTGAAATTCTTTTGTTGGAAACTTTGGGGGCTTCCTTATACATTGTAGCTTCCTTGTGGTTATCATTCAGTCATCCTTCAGTAAATGCTTCCTAAGGGGTGCCATGTACATTTTTAAATGGTCGTGGGCGTCTGGAGCATGTAAAGAAAGAATTCCTAGGATTTACAAAACCTTCTCTTTTTAATGTTCAATTCCTCGGTAAAGTATAAGACTTTAACTTTTCGAAAGAGGTTGGTATGAGGCTTGCATTTTTTGTGCCTTCTCTTTTTCTTCTTTGTTCTTCTAATTCTTCTACTAGTATTTTTTTAATTATTGGTTGGGAGTGGAATTGAGCATTTTTCAAATTTTGGATTTCTTACGTTTGCATAAGTTCTCAACTATATGTGTGTTAGAGTAATCCTTTGACATTAATTTTTGGTAAAGGGTCATAAATTTTCCATGAATATTGCATATTAGCACTTTTCAGTTTTCATTGAAGCAATTACCACTATTTAAGCTTAGTGGTTTAAGCATAAGTTAATCCATATGTTTTTTGCATTGCTATATATATTATCTAAGATCGGCATCAAAAACTTTAGCCACTAATAATGTGCTACTTCAACACCCCGTATGGTACTTAAAAGGAACAAAAGAAGATGATAAATAGTGAAGTTGAGCACAAATAGTTGGGATAAGGCTGATGATAACGGTAGTGATTGTGATAACTAAAACAAGAAGATAGAGAAGGATTAATCTCATGTCAGCCATGGACAAAAAAATCGCTGCTAAGTATAATTTAGATTTGCCATGCAATTATGGAACATCAGCCAATTTCAGTACAAACCCTAATCCAATTCATCAAATATGCCAAATTTGGTGAAGAGATGCGTAAGAGCCTGGGATTAATACATCAATCTGATGCCAACAGGTGATATTAACAGTTATGCAAAAAAAACATAAAAAATTTATGAACTGCCTGAAATATGTTTACCTGCAGTAGAAAATTATTCTTAAGTATCGAAATGTCCAACTAACTCATTATGCGTAAATATGATACAATATGATGAAACATCCTCGAAAACTAAAGGAAAGTTCAACATCCTCGAAAACTAAAGGAAAGTTCAACTACAGTTATATAGAGTAATTTATGGGTGGCAATAAGTAGATTTATCTAATTTTCCATCAATAAAATTAAGCCGCCAGCAGTTTTTTCTTCAAATAGCAAATCTTCACGAATTTGATCGAGTGAACTCCTTAATTAAATGCCCTTCCATCCATAATCTGATTTCAGAAACAGAACAAGCCAAACCAACTCCAAGGGCATCATAAAAAAATATGAATAAATTCCCATTTCAAAAGGCAATTATCGGGAAAAAAAAAAGCTAACCAAACAGTAAATTTGAGCTAAAAAAAAAAATCTAAGAAGAGCCTTCTAAATTCCCATCTAAAAAGTTGCCGAGCATATCTAACACCATCCAACATGAATCAGGAAGTCCGGTTTTGCATAAGCAAATTAGCACAATCGAAATATCTTCCACTCCAACCGCCATGCCCGAGAAAAAAGCAATATAAAAACAAACCTTTTCCCAACTAAGCCAACCCAAATTTTATATCCTAACAATAATCAATCCCAACCGAAAGCGTTATCTTAGCGCGCCGCCCTAAAGAAAAAGAAAATGCCGGCAATTGCAAGAAAGTGTAATCGAAACTAATAAAGCATATATGCATACTTTTTTGCTTGGCACGGGTCCATTGATGGCATGGGAGCTCTCCTTCGAGCTCTCGCTGGGAGAGAACTCCGCCTGCTCGGCGATCAGTTTTGGCACGTACCTCTTTCCGACCTTAGATACCTTGAAGGAGACCCCCATTATGCCTCCTTTGATAGCGCGTGAAAAACCCTAGCCAACTCCCAGAACCTTTCGATCAGGTATATTGAGCGCTTTCTTCCCGGTGAAAAGTTGGGAAAATCCTCAGAGAACACGAACAAGAATGGCAGTGAGAACCTCGCACCGGTATTGTTATTAGGTGCGGAATCCCAGATATAAATTTCGTTATATTTTGATTGATTTGATTATTCAGTAAAAAAAAACAATAATAACAATAATGAAATTTGTATCTTTTTCATTTATTTTATATTTATGTTCATAGCTCTTAAAATTTTAACAATAACAACTAAATTATCATTATTATTCCATTTTTTAGAGTGAAATCCACATTTCATGTAGCTTAGGGGGTCAAAGTGTTATGAGCAAAAATATAAAAATTTATGTATTATTTATGTAAAAACATAAATTTGTGTTGGATATATGTATACTTCCCTATATTAGAGTGAAATCCACATTTCATTTCATTGTGAATGCAATTATCAAACTTTAGTTGCTATATACATAAATATATAATAGTTACTTGATGAGCACATAAATTTAAGAAAACAAATTAAGGGCAAGCATGTGAGATTGGTTTGATTTTGTTTATGAAATTAGGGTTTCAGTTTTATTTCTCTTTATAAATTATTTTGATTATGATTATTGATTTGATTCGAAAAAAAAAGGATAAATAAAAATATTAAATTCAACTTCCTAATCATTCATTGTCATGATAAGTATTATGTTTTTGAATATTAATCATTATTATTTTAGCAGCTAAAAAAGGTCTAAGTAAATGATAGATATTTATTTATTTTCTTTTGCATCAAAAACTAAAAAAAGTATACATATAAGACATTTTTTTTTTCATCTTGAAAAGGATTTTCTTTAACCCCTCTAGGATAGCTTAAAGATCAGTCTGGTAAAATAAGGGTTGCAATTATAGGTTGTGCATCTCATAAGCTAAAACTCCTAAAGATGGAAAAATATATGAAATTAATGTTGGTTCGTAAGTCACAAAAACTTTTCAAAATAATTTATCTCTTTTTGGCATAAGAAATGTGAAACTACTCGGATCCTTGAGTTTTAGTAAAAGTTTTTTATACAGGATAGTATCATATTTCTCAGTATAGGCCACAATCTAATAATCACCTAATTTTCACTTCATATTAAGAATATAATTCATGTGCTTAACACAACTAAGTGTTTTTTTTTTTTCTAAAGCTTCAGCAAATGAAAAAAAATTAATATTTAATTTTTTAAATACTTTCAAAAATACAATGATTTATTTAACAAAGTTATGTTTTTTAATTCATTGTGGAAAATGTTGTGATTGTCTCTCAAGGGAGGTGGCGTTTCTTTTCCTATGTTTGGGGAAGGTTTAACATTGAGTCTTTCAGGCTCAGACTCCTCCATGATAGACTCCTCCCTAATTACCTCCTTTCACTATTTGTTGCCCGTCAAATGTGTGGTTCTGCATAGTTCATTTCCTTTCTCCTTTGCAGTTATTTCAGCATTACTTTGTAATGTCCATTAGTGTCTACTACCTTTTAAATGTCTAAATTGTCTTAATTGACTCTCAATATTTTTTTTTAGAGTGCATTGACTTTACAGTTGATTTATCATTTATAACACCAACTCTTTTAATGATATTTTTTAACTGTGAATTGGAAGTGAATCCAAGCGAGTAAGTTGGAATCGGGTTCAGATTACTTCCTTAGTTATTTCATCCATAGAAGGAGTTTTGTTGGTTATCACCCCATAGATGATTTTCTATATTATTTTATCATTATTTCACTTAAAATTTAGGTGATTTTTCTAACTAATATTGTAGGATTTTCAATGGGGGTTATTGATTACATTGTTTGTAACATTTCTTAACTATTTAACTTCACATAAATAATGCTAGGATTAATTAATTGTTCATATATATATATAATTACTGAGGATCATGGTATTGACTTCAAGCCCAAATTGCCTAATGTTATTTGATTTGAAGTTATATCCTCAATCAGTATACAGGCATTCTCAAATAATTTTCACATTAAAGACTCCCTGTTGCAACATCTATTATTAATATCAATGTCTCATTAGACAATTTAAAAAGTTTGCATAATCAACAATTGAAGCACGATAAAGTGTGGCCATTTCTTAAAAAGCTCCTTAAATCTCTCTCTAACTCCATGCAAAAACCACTATCCATGTCTGCAAATGATATTATCTTATTATTAAGTTTGTCAACCTTGAATGACAAAAAATATTTAGCGAGTAATTTATGTGGTAAGTCATTATAAGTTGTGATAGACCCAATTTCTAACAAATTAAGCAACATCTCAACCTTTATTTCCAAGTGAAAAAGAAAACAACCCAAGTTTAACAACATCTTCTAAAACACTCATTATACTTGAAGGTCGCATATTACAAGAGGTTGATTATTTGTAAATTAAGGTTTTTTATATGTGAATCTCTTAATTGATTATTTTCTATCATTCGAATCATGACATAATTTAGTTCAAAGGTGTTGGGTCGAATAATAGGGTTATTAATATTTGATGAGTTTCATGTACCATAGGGTTGATAAAATCCCCAAGTGCTCTGAGTTAGAAATTATCTTTTTGAAAGTTTATCATTTTACCTATAGCCCTTTTGAGCTTTTTAGTATTATTGGACAATTTTCTCATTTATGAATTTAGTCCTATCCATACAACATGTGAATAACTAGTATCCTTAAACTACCAATTAACACGATATAAGACAACATATAACACGATGTAACACAAATTTCATGGAAAGTTACAAACTTTAGTTTTTTTTTTTTTAAGTAAAAAGTAAATTGCAACAAAATCAAAAAATCAAAATAAGTAATACACAAAACAACTCTATTTTTTTGTACTAGCCTAAATTGAAAAATTAACATTGTTTTCTAACAACAACACAGAAATTTTGACATTTAGTGCAGTGATGCTTAAGATGATAAAGCATGTATGCATGTCAAACAACCTCTAACTTACTTTTCAAGATGAAAAGTGGTTGAAAAGCCACTCAAACATACTCTCTAAATAGTAAATTGATTTTGATCCAAGAATCAGTCTCATGAGGAAGTACTTAGCATTTAAAAAGTTTAATTACTAGTTTGCCGATTCTAAATTTTAGTATGAAATGTTTTGATTTTTTTTGAAAGGTTTCTGTCGGCACTATTTTTGGTGTGGAGTTTGTCCGTAAGAAGCTGTCGGTCATCGGAATTGAAATCCCGTTGCCCGCTTCGGAAGGACGTTAAAAAATATTTAGTTTTGAAAAAGATGAAGTCAAACTGACCCCATAATTTTCATAGTTTAAATGGAAGAGCACTTTACCTCAAATTCTGTATCTATCACAATGGATGGATACAAGAATTGAGGGTGAGGCTCGATCAAATAAACTAGAGAAAGTCATGACATCCGTTTGGTCTGCGAAACCAATATATTGGCCGACAAATTCCCCTATTTAATATAAGGAATTAAATAGGTTTTATATTATATTGGGTTCGGGAAAAGCTTCCTATAAGGGCAAGCCCCTATAGTTAATTACATCTTAGGTAACAAAAGTTACCTAAGAATACTCTCGATAAAAGTCAAGAAAAATTATCTTCAAGGAGTTCAAATGATAAGGACATTTCAAAGATATTGCACTAAGAAGTGTGAAGGGGGATTGGTTCAAACTTGGAGCATTTTGTTTTGGAGTCCAAAGGAGGAAACACTAGAGGATGCCACAGATCCGAAGGAGAACTTCGGTGACTTCCTAAGCTATCCTATTATTTAGCTTTGATTTAGGAGAAATCATTTAGATGTTTCATCCTGCAATATTTTTTATTTATTAGGATTTACATTTGTGTGAAGCAATCAGCACAAATAACCTTAAAGATGT